GCAAGAAATTACCCAAAAGAAACCAACTATGATCAGAGATCAATTTCGGAATGTTAAATCCGAATTTTAATTCGGTTGAATTAAGTAGAAACTTTTCGGGTTTTGAGATTCTTTTAGTTTATGAATAGTAGTAACCAAAGTAAAACCTAATCTACTTTCAGTTTATTAGACAATAAAAGTAAAACCCTAATATTATGGATTGATTTGGTATAAGTTTAGGTTCGAACTTAATTTTTAGGGTTTTTTGGTTAACGAATAAAAACATTTAGTACATAAAATAAAACATAATCTATTCGGATTAAACCGGAAAGATCAAACAACAACAAAAAACAGAGCTTTCATTTTAAGAACCAAACGAAAAAAGCATTTTTGAGTTAAAATTTGTTACCAATTCAGCATCGTCGATAAATTGGAGAATGTCAAGTTCAAGAAAAGGATCGTGTTCTTGAAGAAACTTCCATCCTTCGGTTTGCTCAACGGTTTTGAACTTGGTGTGAATCAAACGCATACACTTGAGCCATAGGTCAGGTGCGTCGCAGAGCCGAGCTAGCTGAAGAACGTCGACGACGTTCTCGACCGTAACTCTCGCTCCAACGCCTTTGGTGCACCGTTGCTTCAGCTGAGCCACCATGTACACGTGCGATAAAGCTAGCAGATGGATTCCGTATTTCTCCATCTCCTTCTCCGTTAGACTGAGGAAGAAAGAGAAAAAAACACAAAAGGGTAGTTTAGTCATTTTCAAATATACTTTTGATAATTAAAAAAGAATTAGTAGTTTGATTTGTTCAAATTCGATGTCTACTTGTGTTATTTGTGTTTCACACGTTTTGAATGTTTGAATCAAAGTCTAAATCAATCGTAATCTTCTTTTTATATATTAAAAAAAAAAAATTATGATTGAAAAGTTGAATTTGGTGCAAAAATTTAAAATTTAGGTAAACATTTCGAATGTTTTTTGTTTTGAATTAAAACAACAAACATTTGATTGGAATAATAAACGAACCTAGGAGAATAAAGGAATCTGACGAAGATCGAAACGGCGTCGCATGGAACGCCTAGAATCTTAATGACTCTCTTCGATGAACCACCGTTGCTTTTACTCGGTTTCTCGATGATGTTCGTAAGTACCGGAGACGCAGAAGCCTACATTTCTCAATTTCGAAATTAATTAATACAAAGAAAAATGGTGATGAAGAAGTAAGAGATTGATCGGAGAAACTCTTACGAGGATGCCGGAGTTCGCTGGAATACGACGGCGGCCGGTGGTGATGATCACAACATCGGCGTTTAGCGAATCGCCGTCGTGTTTAGTGGCGGTTAATATGGCCATATCGTGGAGAAGATGTTGTGACTAGTAAGACAGCTTTTCGTTTTCGGTTT